ATCATCATCATCATCATCATCATCATCATCATCATCATCATCATCATCATCATTTGACGGGGCCTCTCGTGGCCTAGAGGTTAAGGTGTTTGCCACTCATTCAAAGGTCCCGGGTTGAAATCTGGGTAGTGACGGAACATTTTCTTTTCTAAAAGTGTCTCCTTTCACCCCCTTTCCTGCTCTCTAACTATGTTCTGTCGTCTGCTTTCGTCTCCACTTTCTGCCCCCCACCCCTCACCTCCTTAGCCCCCTCCTCTGGGCTTCTGACTCTTTCCGCAGCCTTTCTACTGCTACTCCTTGGATCCTTCTTACTGATGTCTTTCAGCCACACTCCTGATCTTCTGGTGAGAAAAAACCTAGCCTTCTGGAACAAGGGCGAGAAATCTCAGAGGTCCCGTGTGCAATTTGCGCACGTTAAGGATCTGTTGGCTGTCTAAAATCGATAAGAGTAGGCCTTGGCCGCCACCTGGACAAAATTCAATATTTCCTATCAACTGAAAATGTTTATTGTGTCCCGCGCGCTCATATGACCATATGCAGTTGCGAGTGCTGTAACGCACTTGCCATACCATTATTAGACGCGGCATAGATAACACGATAGACTGGGTAATGGTTTTCAACAGTTTCTTTTTTTTCCTGTTTCAGAATCCAGCCATATTTGACATCTGACACCTGACATCTGATATTTGACACCTAACAACAAAATATACAGAATCTCCGACCTCGACTCTATCAGCGAGAGAGTGACCTGAGGTGACCCCTGACTGACCCCTGGCCCCCACGACACACACACACACACACACACACACAATGCCGCGCCTGTCTCACGAATGCTACGGGTTGTCCAGCCCAGACCAGAACGGCTTCCGTCACAAACTGTCCATGGACCCCTCCAAACAGAAGACCGGGGACTGCTACGTCACCTACAAGGCTCGGGCGAACAGCGAGGGGAAATTCTCTGACCCCCGCCATGACGCCATTGTTGTTGCTAAGTTCCCGCTTCCGGGTCAAGAAAGTCGCAAGTGGACGCAGCGAGAGATGGACAAGTTCAGTGCCTCCCACCAGATGGCGCAGAAGTTCAACATGTTTCTCACATGTGTGGGTGCCGGGCAGAACGGCGAGGGGACTGGTGGTTTTCGGAACGACCTCTCCTCAAGGGATGAGGATAAGGAGAAGGAGGAGCGAGACGGAATCATTTCTTTTCTCCCCCTCCAGACAAATTCTTTGTCGTCCGTGTCGTTTCTGGACAAGTCGAGAAAAGTTGGGGACTGCTTCGTTTTCGAAGACAAGCTGAAAAACTTCCAGACGTTTGTCGGATCGAACGGGCAGGCCTCCGCTGTGGAAAGGCCGAAGCGCGGCATCCGCTCCGTCTGTTTCAAGCGGTCGCGGAAACGCTCGGGCGGTGAGAGCGACTCGTCCTCTGCCGGCCGCGAGCGATCCTCCTCTAACAGCTCTGCCGAGTGGGCGTGTGGTGAGAGGGACCAGAAGAAGGAGGAAAGCATGACGTACGTTCACAGCTCGTCCCCGCCACCACATGACGTCATGCTCATGGGCGGCGGCGGCAGACTCCCGACGTATGAGGAGAGCGAGATGTGGACCAAGTATGGAGCCCCTCCCCTCTGGTGCCCCCCGATAGAGTATTATTATCATCACGTTCTCGGCGGGGACTTCAACAATAACCCTGTCTATATCGACTGTTCTGCTCAGGACGCGGAGGTTCTCAACAAGGAGAGAAATCTGCCGGGAGGAAGCGGGAAACTGAGTGGTCGTGGGCGGAGCCTGTCTGTTGACAGCTGTCAGGGGGAGGACTCGGACGACCTGAGCCACGCCCACCTCCACGCCTTCATCCATCACTTCTTCTGCCACAGCCACGGCCAGCAAATCATCAGCAATCTAAGAGGAGCCTGCCAAAAGGGCGGGGCTTACGTTCTGTCCACGCCCACCATCCACTCGGTTGACAGGTCGTTCGGTGCTTGTGACGAGGGGGTAGAGGGCATGCGGGAGGTCATCCGGCGCCATGTTTGCTCCCGCTACTGCAGACATCTCCCAGACATGGAGGAACGCTTACAGCGGAACCTGGAAGAACGTCAGTGAGTGCATGTGGTGTGTCTGTGTCTCACCACACCCCTCCATTTCCTTCTATACCCCGTATACATATATATTTATTTATTTTATTTTATTTATTCATTTATTTA